ATTATGTTGTTCGTGGTTTTTAAGACAGTGCATAAACCTAAATGCCTATTTCATCTCAACCCAAGTAACGCTAGCCCAACCATTTATTCCTCTTTTGCCAACACATTATTCTAAAAAATTCTGTATGCTCAGCCAATTTGATCTTAGTAAAATGAATCTCTAATAAGCATCCATATAATACTACTTAAAGGATTCATCAATTTGGGTCAAACAATCTAAAAAAGTTGTTGAGGGCACTAAAACTATCAATGATGGTTACTTCTAGTTTGACTCTCTGGAAAAAATAATTAAAATCTTCAGCAATTCAATTGTAGTTTTAAGCCCAATTTAAGTTTCTTTGGAATGGCACTGCTAATTTGATGGCCCCCTCTAAGGTTTTGATGGAGGACAATTACATTGTTATTGCAAGAAAAAAGAACATGATGTGCTCTAAGATTCATCTGGTGCATTTGACTCATCAAATTTTTAATCATATTTTAAGCTTCTCATTCTACCATCTTGTGTTTTTAGTATATCATTAGTTGTTTATCATTAGCGCATAAAACCAACTGATTAGTTCTTATACAATTTTTCATAAACTATCAAAAAGATACATCAAAACATGACTTAAGTGGCATTTTGTACAATGAAATAAAATTAAATAAGTTGGTAGAAAATAATAATAATAATACTAACATGATAGGAGGACGTCTTGTTGGAGTTTAGAAGTGGGTAGGAAATACTAACATGATAAGAGGACGTCTTGTTGGAGTTTAGAAGTGGGTAGGAAGTTGCATTAGGTGCCCAAAATGCTTTCTCAAGCGAGCAAGAAGGGAGTTAATCATGGGCCCAACGGATTAAGGATTTCACACGTCCATTGACATTGGGTTAAGCAAGTGTTGCTCCATTGGGCTCGCCACTATAGAAATAGATACCAACATGATTGCTTCGGATTGGAGTACGCCAAAAGCTATCCACTAAAAAAACATGCTTTCAACTAAGCAATTAAGGGTTCAATGTGCCTCACTTGACAAGGGTGAAGGAAATGCTGCTCCATTGGAATTGCAATTGAGCGGGTTTTCTTATTAAAAAAAAAATTAACAAAAGCAAATTTATTTTGTGTAAAAAGCAATAACTGTATGAGAAAAAATATGCAAAAATAATAGATATTCTAAAAGGATTTAATGTCCCATATATCTTAAAGCACATGGGGGTTTGTAGATATTAAAAATATATACATGTCCATAGTTTGAACTCCACAATTTTCACAAAAGAAAAATACCATTATTAAAAAGAAAAAAACACAGAAAGAGCCAAACATGTCTTGAAAAAACAAGAAATTGATATTAACATGATTGCTTCGGAACAAAGTCCCCAAAAACAGTGCACTGAAACCCATGCTTTCAATAAAACTACATAAGTAATAATCACATAATAAAAGATAGCTTTATATGATTATAAAAAATATATTCAGATTATCTCCTTATTCAGCATTCATGTTGTTGAAGTCAAAATATAAAAAAGAAAAAGATCATGAAAGAATCGTTACTTCTCACTAGTATCTGCCAACAAAGCACCAGAATTAACCAACATTTCCCGAAAAGCATCTGGTCCAAATTCAACAGAAGAACAAGTATCATGAAACCGATATTTTTCCGCACTATCTGGAGTCATGAATCTTATTCTGTCTGGTATATTCTCAAACTGAAATAAGCACAAAAAGACAATGCTATTAAGAGATAATTCGGTAAAAGACCTATAGAAAAGCAAAAGAGAGCTTCGAGTGCTGCACTAAATACCTTACTAACTCGACCTGGCGGTGCGCCAAAAAATTCCTTTAGCTTCTTTCTTTTTACTTGGAAGGGGTAGCGGGAGGAAACCCTCGCTCTACAACAGCAATTTACCGAGGATGAAGGCATGGCTGCTTATACTAAGGGACTGTGAGGAAAGGAAGAAAGCAAGAAAAAATGGATTCAAAGTCAATGAATAAATATCTAAAAAAATTACCAGTTTCAGCCAAGCTTGACGAGCTGTGATTTAAAGGAGCAGTAAACCTTAATCAAAAACAAAAAAATTAAATAAATAAAAAATAAATATAAGATATGATAATGCAGCAATAATGTAATAAATGAATAAAAAATATTAAAAATTAAGGAAGTTATACATACATACCAATCAATTCCTATGTATCCATATATAGCACCTATACTTCAATTTTTACATACATATCACCTTACCCATGCATGACAAGCTGAATTTTAATATTATATGGTTAATAAGGCAGTATTTTTAATAAGATGTGAAGATTTCTGTGGTATAAATGTATGAAGTAAAGCTTTTAGGTGTTAAATATGTAAATACACAGGAATTGGGTGGTATGTATGCAAATGCCCCTAAACTTAAACCTGGAAGTTCGAGGTCTTTTGAATGATGAACTAGAGCTTTCCTTTCCGAGTCTTTTCTTCTCACCATCGATCCAGCTTTTATTTTTCAAACTTGAACCAGGATAGTTTGAAATATCAACTAGCACCCCACGTGCTGCCCTGCTTCCTCGAATCATTCTAGAAGGGGTAGGTGCCATTAAAGGAGAGCAAAATTGCTTCACAGACAGCGAAATCCCAGAGGAAATCCTCTTTACGTTGCAAGAAGATTCGTTATAAATTTTATCGTTTTCAACAGAGGAATAAGTTGATGGGTTTGCCTTAGCTTCGCCTTCAAGAGCGTCCAATTCCAGTTCATTAAGAAGGTTTCGTGCTCGCTTCAATGCATCAGCAGAAAATGATATAGATCGGCCACAGGCAGTTTGGAACTTCAAGGGAGGACACAAAGATCTAGTATCACTTGGTTCGTGCATATTGTGCTCTGGTAAACAAAAATACCTCAAGTTAAATTACAGAGAGAAATTTAAATGCATGCTGCAAATTTCTTATGTATTTATATAACTAACGCCAAAGTTAAAGGACTAGGTGATATATTTGGTAACATAAACAAAGGAGGTGTATTTCACTAATGAAAAGACAGTAGTACTGATATTTCTTATGTGGTGTTAAAGGATTGAGAGGTATTCATATATGTATGAATGACTAGGTGTTAGTTATAGAACCAAATAAGAATTGCGTGGCATGTATGCAAATGCCCCCTTAAAGATAAAAATGGAATGTAGCAATTCGATCCTCATCAATTGTCTTTCCAATTCTAATGCCAGTATGCATCAAAACCTCTTTGAAAACTGTGTCATTAGGAGGGAAAAGGATACTTTTATCAAGTTGATTTATCAAATGGTTTGCACAATTAGATGATTTAAAGTTATGGATTATATTTCATAGCTAGAACTAGGGCTGTTAAGAGTAATTAGAACTTGGAGTCATTAAGACTTTGGCTTGATTTGAGTGGCTTAAAATTAATCATGAATATATATTGAGTTTGAACAACTTACTAGAAGTTGTAAAAATTTGAGTCACGCATCACACCACTCTCAATGGATATGAATGGAAAATAAAGTAGTGGAGATAAACCTAATGATAATGAGAAAATTTACATAAATACCACCAAATTCTTTATGTATTTCACTTAAACTTCACTTTCTACATTTATAGCACACAAATTTTTTATATCACGTAAAAAATATCACTATTATACAAAACATGGCATACATGTACAAAATTGAAGTTTAGGTGTTAGATATGTAAATACATAGGAATTGAATGTTATGTATGTAAATCCATGATAATAATACCAGAGACAACATAATCATGTACCGAACAACATGGGCATCATTTATGCACGTGCTGGTTTTTCCAGCCATCATTAATACCCTCCTCCAGCGATACGAGTTTGTTAAAAACTAAGAAAGACTTGAAGAAAAATCAAAATTTTAGGAATAAAAGTGATGGATTCAAAAGTCAACGAATCCTTTTGAACTTTAAAATCAAATAAAAAATTTAAAATAAATTTCCCTATCAATGCTTGCATGAACTAATTTTGACTAAAGTTTGCTTATAAACAATCATGGATGACTCCCATAAACAAAAATCAAAGAATAAATATGTAGGCGCTTCAAAGAAAGCTTCCTTCATAATGCTCCAGTAGGGTTGTAAATGAACCAATGCACTTGATGAAAAACTCAAATTTAGCTCGATTAATACTCGATCATGTTGGTTCAAATTAGTAAATAAACAAGTTTGAACAATATTTTTAAATCAAATGTTAAATGAGCCAAATTTGAACATAATCCAACCGTTTATTAATGATCACAAACATGTAATTTGTTGTTCAACAAGTAATTTGTTAAATGTTCTACACTTATATCATATATTATTTAAATAAAATCTAATTAATTGTAATTTATTTAATTATATATTTAATAGTAATATACTATAAAATAATATCAATATCCATATAAACTTAATGCAATTTATTTTAATTTTTTATTTTCATGAACTAGTTTGTTAGTGCTTATTTATAATATTTGATTACAAGAAAGCTTACTTTTAAGTTATATATTATTTTATTTATTTGATATAAACTAATTAGATATTAATTTAAAATTTATTTAATCGATTATTTATTTAAATTTGTAAAATTATTTTTTAGTTTATATAAAAAATCAAATAGTCATCGAAATTTGTAGTTTATTTATTAGCAACATATGAAAAGATAAGTACAAATCAAATTTTTAATTTTATATAAAAAATCATACACTCATTTAAATTTTTAGTTTATTCAATTAATATAAGCAAATACAAATCAAGGATGAGCATTAAAAAATTTAAACAGGTCAAGTATGAATACATGGGAAAGCTAAACTTAAGCTCAAGCTGAAAATTAACTTATGATTCGACCAAGCTAAATCCAATCCATGAAATACTCAACTCGACTCGGTGTAATTAAAGCCCTAAGATCAACATTTGAAAGAACAGTCAGTGCTTCTAGCACTATAAGCTAATTCAGCAAATGGACCAATTTGGAACACTAAACTAAAGATATTCTTATCAACATAAAGTGGAGACCTCTTATATCATTAACAAATGAAAGGAAACGGATAATAATTATTTTTTTGAACGTAAATATCAGTATGATAACTTCCAATCCTCGCTGATACTAAAAAGTAAGAGATAAATAAAACCCTGATAGTGCAAGATGGCGAGTACAAATCAACTTTTTTAATCAATCTCACAATTCTAATAAATAACCATAAAAAGTTAACCATATCTTCTATAAAATAAGTATACCGCATATAAAGTCTTGTGTTAGTAGCATAATCCCCTCCCCTCTTGAGAAATAACCCAAGCTTCTAGGAAGATATTTCAAAGGATCGAAATAGATTAAAGTAGTTTGAAAAAAAAAAGTAGGAATAGAGCAAAACGAGGCCCAACAAAGCAAAAAGAACTAATAATTTACTTGGTTTTAGGTGCTTGGATTCTCGACAACTCAATCACTCAATCGGAATTCGAACGAACACATGAGAAATTGTTCTTGAGGTGATCTTTAGGATTAAGCCATTTAACAATAAATAAAAGTCTTCAAACCTCAAAATATCATATTGAATTAAGCCTTTGGTTAACCTTTAGGCAATCAAACATTCCCTCTAAGGCCCTGTTTGGCACAGCTTATACATGTGCG